AGTGAAATGTGGAGGTACTTTTGCTACGTTCCATAGACGTTTCTAATCAATACTAGGAGTTGGAATTAATGAGTTTATTATTATGGTGCTGTAATATTAATATTAATAATATTAATGCCATTTGTTATGTGTTCAAAAAGCTGGGCAGGATTCAGCTGACAAAAAAAGGAAACTACACAGATGTTTGATTTTTCTTACTATTATAGATAAATATACCAAAATGATATTGTATTTGTGGTATTGTATCAAATTCTGGTATCTTATCGTAAGTATGAGGTATGATGGTATTTATGGAAAGTTGATTCAATTACAATTCAAAAAAAAAATTCAAATGCAAAGTAACAATTGTGGATGCATCTCAACCGCACCCTGATCATTTTATATTACTACATACTCCAGTAATCTATATATATATATATCAGTTACATCAGATCTTGTATTTCTTTTAAGTGCTTTCAAAATGTGACTAATATAACAATTCACATTTTTTTAAACCAAATGTAAGGTAACTCAAACCATATTTATTGCCTTACTCTACTGTGACATGTTCTGCTAGTTGCGGTGGAAAAGTCACCGGTGCCAATTAAGTAGCTACTGGCAGTTGGGCCGGTTCACTGAGGTCCAGCTTTTTTCGGGGTGTTGACAAGATGTAAAATAACATACCTAGACTTAAAGAGAAATAAAACTGCGCCAATGTGGTAACGTTATTGTAGCTGGAGCCGACAATAGGTGAAGTGAAGAACATGCAGTGCAACATGTAAACATTATATAACAAATGTATGAGATTTGCTACATTATTCGAGTGTACCATAGTTGAGGAGAGGTGCTTTATAGCATATAAAGCCTGCAGGCTAATCTGCATTCTAATTCACCAGAGGCTCTGAGGTTTGGTCATGACGGACGCTGACTTGGTTGTTGTTTGGCTGGTTGGCGGCGAGCTGAGCTGAGGTGCATTTTAAAAAGGCAACATGCTGATAGAACACCCATGCTCAACAGACTGCACGTCCAAATGCAGAGAAAGACCTTTGGCTGATAGCTACATGTGTCTGTGCAGCAAAAGGACCTTGAAGGAAAAATGTGTCAGGAGTGCAGGAGAGATGTCGGATGCTTTTGAATATGAGCCAAAATGGCTCCTCTAGCTCTCCTTCATGCTGAAACTATCAATGAGTAACTAAATGATCTCACACTCGGACGGTATACTGGTTCAACCGGTGTACTGGTTTCAAATGTCCTAACGGCATAAATTTTCCGCACAGTCATAACAACTGTTGTTGCTCTTCGGCAAACAGCACAACATATTGTTTACCAAACTACTTGTCTTACGTGTATAGTGTTGGCTGCCTATGCCTGTTGCTGATCACTGCAGCAAACGCTCTTTAACGGGGTCAAACAAGACGACAACAGTTTCTGACACAAACATTTTGTAACACTTATAATTAAATGAATGACACGCCAAACTGCATGTTGGGTACGGCCTGCCTGCTATCACAACAAGAAGAAACCCAGTGGCTTCATGAAAACATGGAAAAGAGTGATGCAGGAGGGCCAACGAGAGACCAGAGATGCACCAACACAACTTGTGCCTAAGAAAGGAGCTGTGTCTGTTTGCAGGTTTTTGTTTTTTTGAAAAATCCAACATAGGTTAGATCAGAAAACAATTTATTGCAATGTTTGTCGAGCCGCTGGTATTGCCTCTGGTGGCAACACTAGGAAGCGACAGAACAGAAGACATTCTTGCGGACAGACAGCTCGCGTTGGGAAATGTTTGTGTGGTCCGTAATTATGATTTTCTCGCATTTAAATGCACAAAATTCAATCCTTCACTTTCAAGCAAACACGTTAAACAAAAGGAGCTTTTTAACAGCAGTATGTCCTTCCCACATTTGCAGTTAAAATATTTCTTGTACATCTCAACTTGCACTTAATTCAATTTAAAATCTTTAAAAAGTTAACGTAATCAAATCAAATATATAAAACCAAACCACTGCCAAAGCATTAAAAGTACCCTCCACCATCATGACATTATAAACAGTTCATGGAGCCAAATCCAGGTCAGAGGGTTTGATCATTTGAAAAACAAATGTGAACCTGAAAGTTTTGTTGTTGAACATTGAAAAATACGACAACGTATTAAAAATAAAAATGAGTGGACAAAAATGTTCGGGTTGAATACAGTTGACTCAGTTCTATAATCTTTTTGAAAAAAAACGTTTTTTTTCAATCTTTACTTATATATATTTTTGATATTCGCTTTATTATATTTTTTAGTTGCATTTGGTTATATTTTCAGATTCAAATCTTATATTTAAGTTTTAAATATTTTTTTTCCACATTCAGACCTTTGACCCTGATGTGGCGTAGGGGGCGGGGCATCAACTGTACTGGATTTCCTTTAAAAAAAATTAACACTTTAATTGATGCAGTTCATTAATAACTAATTCTTTCTGTCGCCTGCTGAAGCAGTTTAAGGACGGCCCCAATGCTCTCATTGGTTGATTGCCAAGCCAATACTGATCAACATCATCCCCTCCTTAGACCCATGGTCTGTCTGTAGCTGTGGCTCAACTCTCCCATGAGGACTCACCCTTTGCAGTCAACGTGGTCTCATCACTTCGACAACCTCCCAGTCTCCAAAATAAGAATAAGGGATTTCCTGTTTGCATCACCAGGTCTTCCTCTGCCGCTCCTGTTGCATAGCAACCTGCTGTGCTTGACAGTAAACGCCTCCGAAAACATATTACATGCAGCCAGAGATGTCCATTTCCTTATGAATTTAATTTAATTTAGGAAGATATGCTTTATCCGCAGAGCATGATATATTTCAGGCAGAGAGATGAACATTTTCCTGTCATTTTAAAATAAAATGTACTTTTAGCTTTAAGTAATGGTGCAATCCTAGTCTAAACGGAAATCAAACTGGTCAATGAAATGCAGCAATGTTGATTGCATAACATAATTAATATAGTTAATGCTGCTTGTGTCACACTGTTTATATATAGTTAAGCTGTAAATGTGTGCTTTTGCTTTGAATAGCCAGGAAGTAGCATGGTACGAGTTTTTGATAATGATAATAGAAAAACCACACGCTGGGTGTGCAAAAGCGCATTCTGGTTGCTGTTGTAATACAGCAGTAAAGACAGTAAAACGTCACACACACGCACACGTGTTTGGTATGGTGACAAACTCTGTGGCTCTAGCTGAAAGAAAGTGCTGCAGTCCCTCTGAGCTGTAGGAATATGTGCCAATGAATAAGGACAGCAAGAATACTGCAACGACCAGACATGCAGACACTGCTGCTACAGGAAGAGAGAGGGGAGGAACCCTGGAAGCAGAAGGACGACAGCTCCGTTCCTCATCTGTCCTCAAAGAACAACAAACAGCAGGTCTTCTCCTGATGCAACGTCATGGCATGTATATTGGGATGGGCTGTGACTATGTCGTAAATCAGTATAATGCCAACCTTTAGTTATTTTCCTCACCCTTTTAGTTTTAACTGAGGCAAAATATATACTACTGCATTGTTTGGTGCTTATTCAAGTTCAAGTTACTTTACAGTAAATGTGCTCATGTTCCCCATGACACCAAAAAAAAGCCATGGAACCACTTTGTAATGAACAGTGTTTTATCCATTAAATCTATCAATGTTGTCCAACTCAATACATACCGTTCGGGTTCACATGGGGTTGAGTTCTGAAGACTAAGTCAATACGATTCCTTGATTGGCTGAGGTCCCAGGGAGGGCGTGCAATATGGTCAACATTTTATATCCAAATGTCATGTTGATATAGCATGTTTAATAGTCCTTAAATAGTCTATACCTGGTAAACACCCTTTTTGTTTCTCCTGTATGAAGTTAAAACAGTAGTGTCATTTGTGAGAATGCATTTTAGCCCACTTTGTTTATTATTACCTAATTACAAATTGATTACTGGTAAGTTGCGTGCTGGACAGACCAGCTGGGTTCACGCTTTGACTGCTACTTTCAAAGCGAGATACACAGTAGTTTTAAATCAGACCCGCGTAGGAACTGCCATTCTCTCCAGATCAGCACCATGTGCCCGTATGCAAAGATACTGTACTATCATCGCATTCCAATATACTTCACACATCGTAAAGTCCTTCAGGGCCATTTTGTTCCTTTGGACCAAACTAATTATTTGAACTGTAAATTGTATTGAATGCCCATATATTAGACTCTAGTGTGTGACTGTTATATGTGCTAATAATTATAATGGGGGATCTTGAATTGCTTGTGTTGACTTTATAGCCCATAAATAAACAAAATATATATATATATATATATATATATATATATATATACATATACACATAGGCATACATACATACATACATACATACATACATACATACACACATACACACAGTTATTAAATGTTTACACCTTCACCCGTGTTTCCCTGTTTTGTATATTTTCTCTCTTGTCTATATGTTAAAGACACACTGTATGTACAGAATGTGGAGAGCAAATTCCATGTGTGTGAAAGCATACAGGTCCAATAAAGCTGATTGTGATTCTATCAGCACCTCTTTGTCATCAGTTGACCTCATGATAAGACAGCGGGAGACAGGCTGCTGAGGCTGGACACGGTGTGGGGACAGACAGTACTCGCTCAGCAAATGATGACTCAGCCAGATGCCTTTTGTCTCCTAATCACATGCCGAGTGTGTAGAAGAGCCCGATTGAGGGGATGCGACAGTCACCTGCGGCGCTGCTAGCACCGCGACCTGACGTTAGCGTGTTTGGCTCGCTAGCTAGCTAACACCGATGAGCTGCTGTAGCTTCATTTTAAAAGGTGACACAAATACAGCAGTTCCGCTCCTCCTGTTGTGTAACAACAAAGGACATGAAGGTTCCAACTATATATTAATATGCCCCTGAACACAAATAACCGGTATGAAACTGTCAGGACATAGCATGCCCCGTTAGCAGCCAGGTAGCTAACGTTTGTAGCTGGCCAGCAGAGCGCAGGTTGACTTACCTCATACTGGATGTACTGTTTCCTCCACTCCGGGGTGATGTGAGCCGAGAGATGCTCGGTGAATTTCATTTTGACAGCTCGCTGGCTTCCCTCTCTCCTGCTGTTTTATAACCAGGGCGGACAGGTTAGTCGAGCAGCAGGAGGTTTGTCGAAGAGGTTCACAAACGTTTACACAGAAGCCGTCATACGGAGATTAACTACGGTCGTGCCGCACGGTGAAAGACGAGGGGAGGGATGTCCCTTTCGTCTTCAAGTTAATCTAGCGGGCTGCGGCAGCACACTCTTTCCATTTTAGACACATTCAGTACCCTTTGTTCAACGTTAACGGTAAACATCTCAGCCAACGTGGTTTTATCTGTAGCGCCAATGTCGCACAATCGCGGCTAAGTTGTGGTAAACAAGCCCACTGTGCTGGGTTTAGTAGCTCGGTGTTGCGATCTTCCCCCTCCTCCTCCTCTCTCCCTGCTGTTACGCCTCCGTGTAACCTCCCCCTCCCGCTGCCTTCAGGTGCAGTTTGAATTAAAACATCCCAATGTTAAGCGAAAATTATCAGTTTGTTGATGGGTGTAGCAAGGAGTGGCCCTGTCCTCCTTCTGGAAGCGTCATCAAACCGGGGCAAACTAGTCCTTTTTCAACTGTATATTTAGAACATTTTAACCAGTTTAATCGTTATGTCGTTTACGGTTTTCCACTGGCATTTCTAAATGTCATCATTGTATATATATTTTACAAATAATATTAATCGCTTATTCCTGCAGCATTGTTAGGCTGAAGTCCCTCTAAAATGTTCATCAGCCCCTCCCCCCCAAATGATTTGGAATTATTGGCTTTAAAAATAATTAATTAAACTATTGTTTCTCACATGGACAAGTAATTTATACATGCTACACTGTTCTGTTTTTTATGTTTTCGCCCCCTTCAAATTACAATCCAATAGCCTATCATCATACTTACAATATAACAATAAACCCTCAGGCACTAGGACCTTGGGGAGGATGTATAGGATCAGTCTCAATAATTACAAACGTACACAGAAAATTCACAAATGCGCACAGAACAATTAACAAATATATTCGATTTGCAAAAGCAAACAAAAATATTCACAAATGCGCATGGAACAATTCACTAATATATTTGATTTACAAATGCACACAGAAGGATTTACAAATACATTCCGATGCAAACATTTGTTTGTGGATGTGTATGCATTTTTTTTGCGGATCTTACTGCATTTGTTTGCGGAGGGCTTCACATTTGTGTGTGGATTTTTTGAGACTTGTCGTACGTGTTTTCAACCAATCACATGCCACAAGACTGCCTGCGCTATGCAATTTGCGGAGCCGCGACGGGTCAGAGGTCAGCAAACAACGGCGTCTGGTAGCAAAGTGTAAGTGAAACATAATTGATGTACGGCCCTTATTATAAGACATTACAGCGGAGTAAATTCTGTAGACAACACTGTCAACATGGCTCTTCACTTCATCCTCCAGTATTTGGACTCTCCAGGAACTTACGCCAGGATCCTGTGTGTGGACTTCAGCTCTGCATTTAACACAATCATCCCGTCTCTGCTGCAAGATAGACTTGTCCAACCGCACGTGCCCGACTGTACCTGCAAGTTGATTACAGACTTCCTGTCTGACAGGAAGCCGCACGTGCTGGGGAAACATGTCTCAGCCTCTCGAACCATCAGCACCGGTTCCCCCCAAGGCTGCGTTCTTTCCCCTCTGCTCTTCTCCCTGTACACCAACAGCTGCAGCTCCAGTCACCAGTCCGTCAAGCTCTTGAAGTTTGTGGATGACACCACCCTCACTGTACTCATCGCTGGCGGGAATAAGTCCGCCTACAGGTTGGAAATTGACCATCTGGTGACGTGGGGCAGTCGAAACAACTTAGAGCTCAACGCTCTGAAGACAGTGGAGATGGTTGTAAGAAGGGAACAGAGCGCTACCTTCCCCGATCATCCCGTGTAACTCCCCCGTCACCTCTGTGGAGTCCTTACACTTTCTGGTCTCCATCATATCCCAGGACCTCAAAGGGGAACTGAACATCAGCTCCATTACCAAGACGGCTCAGCAGAGGATGTACTTACTGAGGCAGCTGAAGAAATTCAACCTCCCAAAGACGATGATGGTGCACTTCTACACGGCCATCGTTGAGTCCATCCTCTGCTGCTCCATCACTGTCTGGTACGCTGCAGCCACAACCAAGGACAAGGGCAAAACAAAATAGCCTTCCGGTCTTCAGCACGGTCCCAAGAGACATTCTTCCGTCTCTATGTGTTAGATATGCCTGCCAAGTTTCACACATGTAGGTCAACCGTAGCGCTGGAGCTGCTTAAATGAATACTTTAAATTGCCATCTTGAAGCACTTAACTTAATGTATGTGCCAAGTTTAGTTATTGAGCCCCACGTACATGCAGACATATATAATTATTTCATTTGCCACCTATTTATGTTTTTTTATCTCAGAAGGCTTTGGGCACACACACACATATCTATATATCATTCCTTAAAATATTATTTTTTTAAAAGAAGCAAGCCGAAGTATAGAAACAGCAACATTCACTTATTTGAACATAGAAACAAGTGATGTTCTAAAAGCATCACAGGTACTCACGAAGATTTAAATGTGGTTCTTTTTGAATGAAAAATACTTGCATTAATGTTTGTAAACTTTAAAATGACATAATTTAAAATCAATGTTAAAAACTCAAAAGTTTTATCTATATATACCCTGACCTTGTCGGAATTTTAACTGAGTTGCAAGGGAAAGGTAAAGCTGTTGCTGACAGGATATGTGCATTTTAAGCTAAAATGCACATATTCTGTGCGCATTTACAGAGATTAAAAAGTGGCACTTTCATATAGTCTGTGTTGAATTCTGCGTCTGGGGCTTTTGACAAAGCTGTGTTAAAGTAATCTGAAATCGTAAACAGGCTAAGGAAAGAGCTTGAGAACAGGTTTTGTGATTTTTCGGTGGAGATTAGAATTGTAACACTGGAAAATGACCTCCACCTTAAAACTCAGGTCAAACCTTTCGGGCCTCTTGGACACAGAGAAGTACGGAGGTGTATGCACAGTAGCTATGAAAGTTGCCGGTCTGGTTCAACCAATTTATGAGAATCAGGCTTTTCTGACATCATCTTCATCAAAACTCACTGAGAGTGAGTAACATGTTTTGAATGTTTAATGTTGTCATTGAAACACCAGGACAACATTAAACAAAAATATTGTCAAAAAATGTGAACAAAAATTTGTCCAAATCAAATATATTCGGATTTGTTAAAACAGCTACAGATTTGTTTATGAGTTATAATGTATATATGAAATATAAAAAAGATGGGATACCATCAATTAAAACAGATTAACAGAAATAAATCTTGTGTGTTTAAATATATATGTGTTTCCTACTGTTATTGTGGAAATTAGCGTTAATAATTATTGTGAGAAATAATTAACATCGACATATATTATTACTATTATTAAAGGGTAAACTGTGCAACTTTTCTATTCAGGACGTTTGTTGAAAGTAACTGAAACTAGGATCTAAAGTGGTTCCCAGTTTCAGAAAGGTGACCTCTGGTTCAAGGAGACGCAGAGAAAACATGTTCACATCTCTGCCAGTAAGTGGCAGTATACGTGTACAAACCATAGATGTTTCATTTATCTGTGTTTTTCTTATTTGTTTATTTCATGTTATGTTTAGGGCTGAGTCAATAATTTTCGACAATTAATGGTAGCAAAGAAGGAAAGAAAACTCTCGTCTTGTGAGATTAGGAAATAAATGTAAAATATACAAGTCAGAATGTCTGAATGCCAAAGTAATTTTCTTTGGACAAACGTATCTCAGCAGGATTAGGTATTCCTAGCTACATAAGTAGCCCATAGTAACCTAATCATGTATTTGTTGGAAGGTTGGCCAAAGGACTTATAATAGCAAGAAACAATTAGATAGATTTAAACAACTACCAACTGTTAAATATTTTAAGCCACTAAGAAAACAAATCAAACATAAAACTTGCAGAATTGAAGATATTGCTTGAGATATAAAAAATGTCCCATAGGAAGCCAGATGCTGCAAATCAACAAGTTATATATCTAGTAGGAGACGCATTTATGTCCATGTCGTCCACCACAACAATAAACAATAAATGGCAAGCAACATATTTTTATAGATGCATGTCTTTTTTATTTGTATATGTGCATGTCATATTGATCTGTAAAATGCAATATATATGTATTTGTGTTGATATTTATGGGAAGAAGTGACAGCAGTTCTGCGAGTAGAGGTGATGCCTAAATGCCTAAGATTTTCCGTGCTTTTTTGGGGGCTTTGTTGAATCTCCGGACTTTCTGGTATTATAAAAAGGGACAGTTCGACCAGAGAAGAGAGTGCTTGTTGGTTTTTGGGGTGGTTCTTGCTTTTTGCTGAACGGTGATAGAAAAGCTGTAGATTAAAATCTCCAGACTTTTTTCTAAATTCTAGTGCTGCAAAAATCTAATCTCCCAGGTTTTCTGCAACATTGATAGTGCGCAGCAAAAAAAGTCAACCCTAGAGGCCATGATTATGCAGCAAGTTGACAGACTACCAGTATTCTGGCAAGGGGCCACTTAACGATTGAGGGCCTCTCCAAAATGGACTAGTGAGTGCCTCTTCCACAGAGTGACTTGCCATGCGCAGTATGTTGACCTGCTTTAAGGACACAATGAATGGCTGTGGGTTTGATAAAACATGTCCAGCACTAAAGCTTATTGTGGGGTTTGCCCCATCTGTCTCACTAAAGATAACTTCTGGAGCTTCTTTAGTCGGATATTGGAAAGCAATATGAGTTTTGTGGAATCCTTTCATTTTGTAGCTGTAGAGTGGGAATGCTTGTTTTAAGATAATTGATGAAGCTGCACAGAAATATGTACATGTATGTGTCAGTCTTACTTTCCCATACACTATGCCTCTATTAAATTAACAATTAAATTATGAGAATGCTCACTTAAAATAACAATTAGACAATGGATTTCCTCATCATGAATTTCTACACCATTTACTCTTGGAACATGGCTGGGATTGGGGCGTTACATCTATGCAGCAACCTCAATTACACACTATTAAAAATATAACTTCTAGGACGTTTTGGATGACCAAACCTTGGCCGGATTGGAATAGTCGTTTTTGCAATGGGGAGGATTTCAACTGAGTGGAATCACCCGAAAGTAGTGTAAATGGCGGCCATTATATAAGCTGTTTCAATTCTCTAATGCTATGGAATGGAGCTTCAATGATTCCCTACTTAGCTCCTTTAGCATAGGTAACACTGAACTTTCCTTGTATGTACCAGTACCAGTACCAGTATGGAGCGATCATGACCTGAACCTGGAATATGTACGGTCCTCCAAGCGACTCAACTCCCGACAGGCAAGGTGGGCGGTATTTTTTGGGGGTGTGATGTAATGTCTGATCGAGGCCCACAGTTCACCTCTGCAGTCTGGAGGGCATTCTGTTCATCGGCGGCACTGTCAGCCTGCCCTCTGGGTTCCACCTGCAGACCAATGAGCAGGCTGAGAGGGCGAATCAGAAGACGGAGACGACTCTACTATGCGTGGTCTCATTGCCCACAACAACAACACCCTCCCAACATTGGCTACCGGCATGTCCCCATTACAATGTGTTTATGGCTACCTTCCACCTCTGTTTCCGTCCCAGGAGAAGGAACTATTGGCACCGTCCGTTCAAACCCACGTTAGGTGCTGTCATCGGACGGGGCATTGCGCTAGGGCAGCCTTACTCAGATCATCAGACCGATACCAACATCAGGCTAACCGGCGCTGTAGGCCTGCCCCCCCGTATGCCTTGGGAGATAGGGTTTGGTTTGCCCCCCGGCTGCTCCGTGTCCCATTTCAAAGTGTCCCTGAGCAAGACTCCTAACCACTAATTGCTCCCTGGCCAAAAATGTAAAAAGCCATGGGTTAAAAAAATGGAATGTAAGTCGCTTTAGATAAAAGCGTCAGCTAAATGGCCTGTAATGTAATGAAAGCTCTGTGGTTAGGGATTGATTTAGTGCCCTGTCTTGATTGTTGGTAACTTAGTATTTAGTATACCTTGGAGTACGACCGTTGTTCACCCTGCTGGACTTCGTCTCGGACCGCCTGACTTGGACGCGCCAGAGGCCACATGTTGAGTCAAGGACTCTGCAGTTCCACTACAGGAACCAGAAAGTCGTGGGCTACTGGTATTTTTTGTTGTTGTTGTTTGACTCACGGAATAAACTAATTTTGTTTCACTCCACCGATCCGGTCTGCGCTGACTGAGCTAACTGTGCTAACTGTGACAAAATGATCTTTGTCTCCCTTTGAAAGGCACAGACAGCTAAGAGGTCTATTCTCAGGCTTGAGTAAAAGTCTTGTTCCTCGGCTACGGGAGCTGTTGCTTATCCACGACACAAAAGTAAACAATGTGCATTTTCTTTTCCAGGGAACTAGCAGAAGTCCTTTGTCTTATGCTCTGCACCAAAAAGACGGACAAAGCCTTTAATGCAGCACTATTTCAATTTGAATGATCTAACTGTGATGCATACCCTCACAGAATACTGCCTCAATAATTGCATTGCCTACATGTGACATGTGAGCACCGGATTTAATGAAGAGATCATGCACTGGGTAAAAAACGACACTGTCTAAAGTTACTGTAATTTACTGTCTATTAAATATATATATTCACATTATGCCCCTCTGCATCTGCACTGGTGCTTTATTTCAGCTGTAGAAAGACAGTTAGTAGTTTCAGTTATCACAACAATAGTATTGCAGTTTACGAATATGGCATTTGTATTACAGAGTGACATGCCTACAGTTAGTTAAGGGAAGGATTATTAGTCACTTTGCAGACGTGGAAGGAGGGGCCAATGTTTTCTGGATCACCAACCTCTTGTGTGGTTTATCGTGCATCTTTGCTTCCCTATCTCTTCGAGCTAAAAATATGTGGAAACTAAAATAAAAGACTTTTCAGTTTTGTTTACATGACATACATGTTATATTTTCCTTCAAAAGATCTAATTACACTTGTTTTCTGTTTTACAAGTTGCATTGGGATGGGATAGGGGAAAGAGGCATTTAAAGAACTGTTTACTCTGAAGAGCAATGTCCAGAAGCTGTCACTTCTGCAGTAGATAAGCAGACAGCATTCGCTATTTAGCTAAGTAGCATGTATCATTATGTCATATCAAGGAATGCGCTCTGTTGATCAAACAAAGTAAAAGGTTGACCCTATGAGACACTTTAAATGAGAGTTCTATCAGTTGCATAATGAATCAGAAATGCATAAAAAGGAGAATACAGAAATGAATGTGTGATACATAAATAATGAATAAATAAATGTATCCCCTGCTTTGATGAACTGTGTCTGAGCCCCCCTCCTTCTCTCTACCTGCTTGTCACCTTAAATACCAACCACGTACTCAACTTTATTTTCAAAGCCACAAACTCAGTAAGACCGCTGTACGTGGGTGTGGTGATTGGTCGTCGGAACTAAAGATCCGTAGTTCGATCACATGAAGCTTTCTTGCCAACATTTTCTCTAGGTTCATAAATGAACTTACATTGCTGTATTGTTAATATATTGTTCTTATATCATTTGAAACATTTCTAAAAGAAACCAAAATGGCTGTTTAAAGCATCTAGCTTAATGTTTGATGACGATAAAATAAATAAACAGACAGCTGTACATAATCACTCCAAACTACCTTCACCTGGCTGCCAAAACCCGCTTTTGTTATGAAGAACTGACCACCAGGAAGAACAATGTCCAGTGTCCAAGAAATAAAGTCGTAAACACATTTTCTATAATAATATTTATTTATATAAACATTAACAGGACGTTATCACAAGTCCAGGGACAGGAGACCGGGGGGACTCAATCGCAGACTTGTTACTTTCATCTCCGAAAAAGGCTTCATTTAACAAAATTCAAAACCGAGCAAAAACCAACAAAAGGCAAAGTCATCAGTCATTAAAGAAACAGGAGGGATTGGCACAGGAGACATGATGAGCAAAAGGAGACAACAATGACAATGTGACAGACAATGAACTTGACATGGGACACACCTGGTTTGAATACACCGGGACGGTCCAGATTATTGGACAAAGGAGGAAACAATCGGGGACACGACTAACAGTGGCTGGATTTGAATTGTCAAATGTGCTTTGGAAGGTTCCTACCTGAGTGAAATGACCCGCAAGTAGTGTAAGTAGCCACCATGATAAGAGCTGTTTGAATTCTCTAATGTTAAGGAAAGGGGCTCCAATGATCCCCTATTTAGCTATTTTAGTAGAGGAACAACACAACACAGGACCATCCTTTACAAAAGGAAAGAAGTTAATTACGTCACATAATTCTGGGCGGCGGCCATATTTAAATAGTAACGTATATTTGGCCGTTCACGAGAATTAATAATCATGACAGAAACGCAAACCATGTAAGTAATTGTTCGCATAACTCATTTGTGTTGCAACCTTGTTAATAAAGTACTCGAACCTGGTTGTTTATGTCGTCTGCATGACTCAGCACTGTAACAACACATGAAGGCATCTAAGATGCTTCTTTGGAGAGTTTTGCCGCTGCAGACTGACGTCACTAACATACGTCTCTCGTCGCACCATAACTACGTAGCTTAATGGAAGTGGAGTTAGATTTCCTAAACACGGTGGTTTTCCTTTCCTATCTCCTCATGAATTCTCCTTACCATCTTTCCCTGACCCCCCGTCGTTTTCCACAGAGGTCAAGGAATACTGGTTAGGAATAAACGTTAGGAGGTCTTTCTTTTTAAAATTAAAATCCAGCCCATCACACTCACAGAGGAGAACACAACAGGGCAAGAAGTGAAGTTGACCCCAGAATCAAGCTTTTGTCAATGGTTGCCATGCTTTTGACCTTTTTGAGGTACCTGTTCTTGATGTGAGCAATTCCATTTTTAGATAAAGTCACTACTTTCTGTGCTTTTGAGCCTTTAAAGCACTTGATTAGTGTATACAATGTAGTGCATTAATACAAACTAGCTAACAATATATGACATTGTTGAACTGCCTATATTTCAATACAAAAATAATAGTGATCACAAAGAGAACAGTTACCACTTAGTGCTTTAATGCATATTTGGTTTTTCAATAAGGTCCGGACAAAAGGTGAAAAATATGATTCAAAAATGTAATTTTGCAAGAGCGAGAAGCAAAGCAAAAATCCATACTGATGATATTCGTCTCTGCTAAAGGAATACCAATGAAAAATAAATTATTTAGTCATTATTTATTTTCCAAGCACCATGACATAGTTAGCTCAGCAAAGCCTACATTGTACATAAGCTTTATTAAGCACTGTCCCATATTGCATTCTTTAACAAATCCAAGCCCTGATGGAGCAGAGCGGCTTCTCTCTTGGCATTCACCGCGTGCCTTAATTGAATGATTTTAAATCAAGGTCCACTGTGAACACTGAGAGAGGAAGCCCAGAGTGACACATGAGGAGAGAGACTGGCACAGTAACCGCCATGTTTGAGGTTGAACCTTTTGTATTGCTACAGTGATTAGTATTCTACACACTCAACAAAATGTCCAAATTTCAAATAGGATTAAAGCATCACTTGTCAATGTTGTTTTTGTACAGTCATGCAGCAACAATCTGTTTTTTGTTGGCTTCCCCTGCATCATCCATAGAAGAAAAAAATCTTAATCAACATATGTAAAACTGTAACATTGTTTAAATTATTTCACAATATCCTTCCTGACTGACAATATTTAAAGGTCACAGACATAGCTGCTGGTCATCTTCCTTTTGCCCCACTTCCTGTCTACAACGGCCGCACTGATAGACTCCATCCAGGGGTAAAAGTCATGCCCCAGCAGATGATATTCCATCCCCCTTTTCCATGTCATGTCAAGGACACATGAAGTAGGCAGCCATTACAGAGTCAGCCAGGCCGCAGGGATCTAAATGAGGCTAAAACCAGATTGGAATGTGAACCGATGGAAACCTGAGTATCTGAACACGTGATCATGGGGAAACACGACTTTAATTAAGGCACTTAACGGGTTTTAGAGGAATCCCTTCCGATGCCAAACGGTGTCATGGTCATGCCCCTGAATTATTTAATCCCGGTCATGATGAAATTAAAAGGTTATTTAATTTAATTTGAACAACGAAAATTACATGGTGGTAGTCGCATCCTGGACCGTGAAACTGTACACACACCATTGTACTAAAGACATATCGTAGTGAAGATCAAATATAGATCTCAATAAACTAGTTATCGGCTCCTCCTCCCGACATTAACACATTATTATTGCAGCATGCAGGCCGTGCCACAGAGCATCAGTCTGAATGCTCCAGCACGGCCTGCATAAGCACAAACAATAAGCATATGTCCCCTTATCATTAAATACCGTGTTAAATTACAGGAATAAATTGGCCAAATATGTAGAGACCTCTGCAGCGAAGAACGGAACTGCGCGCGTCCTTGTCGCATGATGCACGCCGAAGCCTCCGCATCATCTCCTCTTCTTCTACCGTCTTCTCTCCAAATGCTTTGATGCCGAAGCCTCCGCATCCTCTCCTCGTCTTCTATCGTCTTCTCTCCAAATGCTTTGATGCCGAAGCCTCCGCATCAACTCCTCTTCTTCTATCGTCTCCTCTCCAAATGCTTTGATGCCGAAGCCTCCGCATCAACTCCTCTTCTTCTATCGTCTCCTCTCCAAATGCTTTTTAATGCAGAAACCAAGACATATTATATTGTCGATGGGGCACCGTCATCACCTCGCTCCCCGGAGGGTGAAAAGATCTTGGTTATTTGTTTTCTATGTTTGAGGCAGATTTGTTAAATGAAATCGAAGTGTTTGGATTCATCCTCCCGGAGAGCGCGGACGGGCGGGTGGTGGATTACGCTCCGGCTTCAAGCGTCTGTCGCGGGGTGACGTCACCATGCAGACAGGTGCCCTCTCTCTCTCTCTCTCTCTCTCTCTCTCTCTCTCTCTTATCCCCCTTCACCACCACTACCACCCCTCCCCCCTTTGCCCTTGAGACCCGATAGGCCTCCTGCAGAGAAGATGCTGCTGCTATTTGGGTCATTACTCTGTTTCCCATCGTCCAGCTTTTCAGTGGTGTGAACACAATGATAGTTTAAACAAACTAGAACACTAACAGGTTTGTTTTTTTAGAAAAGCGTTTCTTAAAATGTCACAATAAGAAAAAACGTGCATTGATTTAATTGGATTTACATCAGCTGAGGATACTATGGTTGCCAAATCTCAGTTGATACCTCTTTAATCTCCCCCCTGACGCGGAGGTCCTAAAGGCAAATGGCCTCCCAAAATATGACTTAATCTAGGGTCACTGGGGTGGAAGTGGTCACAACAGTCTTCTTCTCTGGCATGTAACCCTTTGGGGACTAAAAACAATCACACGTTTTCATTTTTTAACTCTTCATTTGGTCGCAAATGTGAATAATAAATGTTGTGTGTGAATCGTCCTGTTTTTGTGTTCACTGTATGAACTGTGTATAGTACTCTCCGTCAGTGCTAGAGGGTATGCAGCCAGTATTTACTCCAAAAATGTCATTATTTTGACTTCTCTTAACATGTATTAGAGATATTAGCAATTGTTAAGGCACCGAAACTCAAACTTAATGATCAGGTCTGCTGAATCACAAGTCCCACGCCTTACACATTCTTAATTCTTAATTACAAATACTATTCATTTGATTATCTAGTACAATTATAATTGAAAAAACGTAAAAATGTGATTTGTTTTGTGGCAACCCACGGGCGCAGCACTCTGGACAGCGCATCAAGAGAGCAGCACCAAGGGCAGGGGCACCCACGAGCAAGAGGTCAGGTGACCAAAAGGGGAAACACCCCGCCCCCTCAGGAGACAACGAGCGGCCAAGGTGCAGCTCGTAAGGCTGATGAAGGTTGGCCACAATATAAAAGACCAGGAGATAAGAGGTTTGTTTGCATGAGTGTTAAAGCCCGTTTTTTGTGCTTCCTGCAGGAAGGAGACTGAAGGCCGAACGAACCAGCTGAACCGCACCCTCAAAAGAGGAAGAACCTAATTTTCCCTTTTTTTGTTACTTTGTACGTTGCAATAAATTGTACCCTTTTCGTGTGCAACTAGACGTGTATCCGGTGATTCCACCCACACCCGTTGGATGCCAGAGTTTTCTTAACACACAGCAAACTGAAATACCATTCACCTGCAAGGTGCACCTGTGAAAATATCTTAAATCTTAAAATTTACACAGTAAATAGGATATGACGTTACTATGTAAAGGTCACCTTTAAAGAAAAAAAGGAAAAAAGTGTAGAATAGTATTTTATATTTACAGTAAAATAAAGAAACACTGTTCATGTCATCTTTGAATAAAGTCTGAAACAGTTTGGAGTATATTGAGTGTTGAGAATACACATTGCATTTGTGCTTTTAGTTTGTGGAACGAGGTGTTTATTTGGGTTTGTGTGTAAAGGTGTGATATAAAAATACCGTTGATCATTTAATTTTTAATATTTTGTGTACATGTTGATATTTGTGGGTGGCTATTTTCAACAAAGACCGGCATAGTTTGAGAAATGTTTTAGCAAGAGCAAGAAAACTGTTTCCATCATATGTTTCCTCCAAACTTCAAGAGCTTGTACACTATTTGGGGATCTTGATGAGTTAAGTAAACACTCAGCAGTACTCTCCATTTCACGTCAAACTGCTTGAATTCATTTTTACTTAACATGAGATTAACAAAACATATATGAAGCTTAGGCCTGAGGTGGGAGGCCTCAAGCTCCTGCTTGATGCTCAGCAAACAAAAGCTGCAACAACCCATAGTTGACTGTTGTACTTGTTGATCAACCCCTCACTTCTCTCTCTCTCTCTCTCTCTCTCTCTCTCATTTTTACAAAACTTCCAGTAATGTGCCTTTTTTGTATCGGGTGTTTATTAATTCAACTATGTTAGTTAGTATTGTATCTGTGTCATTTGAGTGGACTGTGCTACTGCCTCTTGGCCAGCTCATCATTGTAAATGAGAATTGGTTCTCAATTGATTTTACCTGGTTAAATAAAGGTTAAAAAAGCAATGTTTTTCCTGAGGTAGCTGGAGAAATTCAAGGACAAGGGCAGCGTGTCATTCGCTCTGCAGAGGGTGATCGGCTGCAATCCGCCGTCCCGTTTGCCTCCAGGACTCTAAGGCAGGCAAAAAGGGTTGTAGGCAACCCCTCACACCCAAGATCCAAGACCAAGACATCCCGCCACACAAACAGTTCCTGCCCCTCATCGGTTAGGCTCATGACCCCAACTGACCTACATTACATCCCCAGGACATTTGCACTGTGGTTTCTCATGAAAATATGGAAATATATGTCCATACATTTGTGTTTTACCGTACTTATCATATTTTTTCTCAATATTGGTAATTTTTGCTTGTATATTTTCATCGTATTTTACTTTATCTTAATTTATTCCGTTTCATTCTTATATCGCACCAAATCCCTCATACGTGGCAATAAATTCTTCTTTGTGGCTCCTGATTCTTATTATGTTGTGAATTATGATCGTTTCCATCATGTGGCCATCGTAAGTGTTCGATTTCACTTATGCATTTGAAAGTGATTATGAATCATACTTATTATCCTCGTGAGAAAATACATTTTGAGCTACATTGTGTATCGTTTATTATCTGTATTCAGTTGATTGAAACATCATTCGGATAATCCAGTTCTCTTGTATCTTTGAATCATTTCAGTTTCTGATCACGGCCCTTAACACCTTGACGTGAACGCCTTGCTCATTGCCCTCCGTCTGCTAATCTCATGACTAATTGGCTAAATAGAACAGATGAAGCTAAAACCAAGAATAGGACAACATCCCAGCGTCTTAGGGTTAGAGTCAGAGTTAGGGATTGGACATACTTCAAGGTTACCGTAACATGGCCAAGATAGAGGAGATAAGAGGTTGAAGAAAGTCTATTTTGAAACCAATTAACTTTTAAACTGTCGATGTCAATTGATATGAGAATAATATAGTATCCACTAGCAACTTCAATCTTGGCTAAATGGTGCTGTGCAGCGCTAAATTTGCTGTGTAGCTAAACTTGTTACCATATGTATCTCAAAGGTTTTGAAAAAAGTTGATTAATGACGTGAAGTGAAGTGGAGGGAAATCTGTGTGAAGGTGGGTTTCTGTTCATAGAAACTGCACTTTGTTGGGCCACATCAAGATTACGATTGAGTTCTTCGAGCGAATTACTTTACATGATGAATGCATTTGTTGAACAGTAAGAGATTACCAATGAGATTAAGATTCATCCTGATGGAAACGTGAATGACAATTGCTACATTTCATCAAAATCCATCCAAAAGTTTAGATATTTCCAGAATTAGTATTCATCCACTGTGGACTATGAAGGCCTGGACCAAGTAAAAAGGGTTGAATTTCCAAGCTATGGGTGGAGCTAGAGGAAATATATTCTGTATAGATTTCCGTCTAACACTAAGTGAGAAGTTTCAGTATCGATCAACAAGGGTGGAGTCACTGACCAAAGAACGATCATCACCCATCGAGCTTCCACACACTTTTTGTCGAGTTAGGAAGTATTTTACCAGCAAAGGCCGACATCGGGTAAGGTTACCCCCTTCAACGATTTAAGTGTTAGGCTTGTTAGGCTGTTAGACCAGGTTGCAAAAAAAAACCTTGTGAATTTATTTTCTTCAGTACACATGACGAAATAAACAATCGGGGGGAAACAGGTGACATAACACAACACACACAGCGATCACAATGAAAAATGTCTTAGATAGCAGGGATCTTAACAACAACAGAGAGATGCACCACAAAATGCAGTTGTAGCCCGTTTGCTAGGCAAGACTTAAATACTCTACCGGCTCACTGATAGGAAAACAATATAGTATTAACAAATCGTATTACATAACAGTAAATCAGGCATTACCACAATAAACCGGGCAACCTCTGCTATGGCTCTGGACTGTGTGTGTTATTGTGCGTGCGCGTGTGTGTAAAGCCACTGGCCACGCATGTGCAGAGCAGCAAAAAGATTAGGGCTCAATCTCACTCAGGCGGTTTTGGTGCATGTCTTCAACTCTGCGCCTGTTTGCTGGAATAATCTGGGAAACGTTTGAATTCGGACATGGATCGATCCTTTGAGTAGAACTGTTCCCTTCAAACAGTTAAGGGTCAGACCCGGGAGACGAGATGAACGCTTGAGTTTTGATTGACTTCGGAGAGCTTTAAGGCTTGGGAATCGCCCTCAGTTGCGCATATGCAGTTTTTAAAATTTGTAAAATATTATATTATTTGGAGTCGGGTGCTTTTTATTTCCAAGTAATGACAGGCTCATCAAAGCAGAAAAATAAATCTGGTAGGCTATTATGAAATTTAATACAGATTTTGTGATTTTCTGGACACATCTCATGTGTCCTTCTATGAGTCCAACCATTTTCAATTTCATATAGACTTGAAAAGGACTATTTATAGTGGAAATTTACCCGAAACACAACCTTTTCTGTCAAATGGCTGAAGATAATGAAACGTACAGTGCTTGCGAATTCATTAAAGGTAAGTTATATATAATTTATAATAAATAATTGTCATATAATCATCTGTAAACCTTGTTGCTTTATCCCTACATCCATCCGTTGAGGTTAGGGTGATGTAAACCATAATTAGGCAGCTAATAAAACCAACATAACATTGAGCCTTTGGTTTGAAAATATATGATGTGAAGTACATAGTTACTATATCTACTAAAATAATTTGATATAATCTGTTGAGTAACTAAAGACACACATGAGTTTCTGTATCACTTTGAAAGGTTAAAAGGAAGCTACAGTCGATTACAATAACTGTACTATTGAGAACCACAGATTCCAGTTGATGCCATACTTTCATACATTGATTCTGTTCACGTTATTCTCTAAATTTCTTTGACCCTTTTTGCAGCCTAACTGCTTGAATTTGATTACGAGTGCTTGTAGAGTCAGCATGAGTCACCTTTTCTGAAGATACATTTATCCCGAGCAAATGAACATCCATGAATCGGCTTAGAAAGTAAAAGGCGACGCTCCTTAAAACCAGCCCAATAATCATTGCATTGAAAGGTGACACGTTGTCTACATCCGTAGTTATATACCAACTTGTCTGGCTAATAGCTAATAGATTAATGGTGAAATTTTGTCAAAACTGTAAAATATATGTTCTGATGTGACTTGGAGTTCTTAGCATGATATCTGGCACCTGTACGCTCCTAGACTTCTCCCCGGAAGTCCATTGCGAAACATAAAAATCAAGTATTTTGACAAAAGACGGCCTAATGTTTGTCTTATTCACTGCACAAGGTTCACGCTGTGATGTGATCTTTACTAGAGATCCTTGATATCAGTGTTTAAGATAACACACAGAAGTAGTGTTAGTAGGGCGACTGTGGGTGAGTGGGCAGCATGGTCGTCCTCCAATCAGTGGGTTGTAGGTTCGATCCCAGGCTCTGCTAACCCGCATGTCGATGTGTCGTAATTACTAGTAGTTACTGATGGGCAGGTGTCACTGTGTATGGTTCTCCTGTCATCAGTGTATGAATGGGTGTGAATGGGTGAATGATGTCATGTAGTGCTAAAGCGCTTTAAGTGGCAACAGACTTCCACCCTAACTTAATGAACAGGAAGTTAGGAAGTGGTCCTGTTTGACCTTTGCCCGCTGTAATCTATGTGATCCAGGTTACTCATCTTGCTTGGTCTGTTCTGCTTTGCTGACATGACACCAAAACTGTTCATGTTCCATCTTGATTTACAGGAAGTATCACAATTCGGTTTGATCCGTGTTCTTGTTCTCCTGTATGTGTGTGTGTGTGTGTGTGTGTGTGTGTGTGTGTGTGTGTGTGTGTGTGTGTGTGTGTGTGTGTGTGTGCGTGTGTTGTACACCACAGACCGGCTGTACTTTGCCACTCTACGTGTCAGACCAAAGAATACAGCCAACACACACTACTTCAGCATGGATGAGGAGCTCGTATATGAGAGGTAACCCTCTTTGATACACAGCTGGCTCAAATCGACGTCACGGAGTCCAATCTAGAGATCGTCCCGCCGCAGAATCCTCAACCCCACACGATGCAAGGCAGCGGGACAAAAATATACATTTATGGCAGAGAAACAAAAAGGGAAATACAATGACTCAAACTATTAGTCAGATGCCTGATAGTGTGTTGGAGATTATCTTTTTAGCAACCACCATTTTGTACTTGAACCTAGGTTTTGTGTTTTGTGTCTTGCTTGTAAAAAAAATTATGTTTATTTGATAAACAGTATAATTTAATATTTATTCACTTGCGATAAATAGTTTGAGAAAATCTAAAGCTTTTTTTCTCTATTCAGTTCTGAAACGTGTGACTAGCTTGCTCTTACACAAATAAACATAAGGGAATTTGGGAGAACGTCTATGCACATGACATTCTAAACATGTTTTATTTGACTGTAACTGATTATGATAAGTATTGATCCCACGTTCATATGTTTCTTTATGTGTTGCAGTTTCTATGCAGACTTTGGCCCGCTGAACCTGGCCATGCTGTACAGATACTGCTGCAAAGTCAATACGAATCTCAAGGTAAGAGGCAGAGCTCTGCACTTTACACGCATACATACTTGGAACCTGTAACCACAGACAAATTACTTACTCACTTAATTGTACATAAAGCTCTATGATATAAATTAATTGTTTACATTGTATCAACATTGGGCAATACAAATGTGTTGTTACTCATCCTTCATCAGATATTGACTTTCTTTTGGTTCATTTCAGTCCTTCACACTGTCTAGGAAGAAACTGGTCCACTATACAAGTCATGACCAGAAGAAACGAGCAAATGCTGCTCTGCTCATTGGTGCTTATGCTGTAAATATCTCATTTTCTATTGATTTATACTTTTATTCATCCATTAACTTGATTTGCCTGTCAGTATGTCCATTATCAATATGTCCCCCCTCATCCATATAGGTTATTTATTTGAAAAGAAGCCCCGAAGAAGCCTACAGGACTCTGATCTCAGGAAACAACACAGGCTATCTGCCATTCAGGTAGAACTGCAAACACAAACATAAAATTGTTATCCTAGTAGCCCCAGGTCGAGGATTCAAGGATCAATTATTGTCATTATGCAACACAGAAATGCCCAACAGAATGCAGTTTTTGTCCATTTGCCACAGAAATTAACATAATAAACCAAATAGAAAGGTAAATTGACCGTACTTGTATTTCTCTCTTCTAGTCTTCTCTCTAAGTTCTTTAACATCACATATCATCATTCACCCATTCACAGCCATCATACTCTGAGGACAGTGTACGGGCTGCCTCTTTGGGTGAATGCTGCAGCCATTCATTTTTATCACAAGAACTATGGTCTTTGACCACCTTCTTCATTCCATTAATAGTCCATTATAGTCCATAGTGATGGGGCTTTTGGAGCAGCCAAGACTGTAATATTTGAACTTTGCTGCTTGTAATAGTAGGCGGCTGTGGATTATGGGTCCAATGGGAGTCTGCATGTTCTCCCCGTGTCTGCGTGGGTTCTCTCCGGGTTCTCCGGCTTCCTCCCACAGTCCAAAGACATGCTCTGGGGATCAGGTTAATTGGGGACTTTAAATTGCCCGTAGATGTGTGAATGTGAGTGTGAATGGTTGTATGTCTCTGTGTAGCCCTGCGATTGGCTGGCGACCAATCCAGGATGTACCCTGTCTATCGCCCGAAGTTGGCTGGGATGGACTCCAGCCCCCCCGCGACCCTGTGTGCAGGATAAGCGGTTTGACAATGGATGGATGGATGGATGGATGGATGTTTCTGGCTCCACACAGCGGAGTGGGTACAAAGATCTCAGAGTTTCTTATAATCCTTCCTCGTGTGTCCTCTCCTATTTTAAACATACCACTAACCAGCCTTTATTAATAGTGCCGTGCCGTGACATGGTGCCTTCCCACGTGCAGGCTCACGTGTCTCAAATAAAAAATAAAAAAACGTATTTACGGCAGCTGACCTGTCGTACAAACAACGGCCGTTTCTGGGAAAACTTGGCTCCGCCCACTCAGCGTGCCGTTGTGACGCCCGCCGCGGATTTGCCACTGATTTACTGCCGATTGCCACTCACTTGCCATTGCTTGCCACAGAGTTGCCACTCACTTGCCATTGCTTGCCACCGAGTTGCCACTCACTTGCCATTGCTTGCCACAGAGTTGCCACTCACTTGCCATTGCTTGCCACAGAGTTGCCACTCACTTGCCATTGCTTGCCACAGAGTTGCCACTCACTTGCCATTGCTTGCCACAGAGTTGCCACTCACTTGCCATTGCTTGCCACTGCCACAAGGAGGATCTCGGCCCTACTGGGAAAATGAGGACTTGATTCTAGATTGGTAGAAAGAGCTTTTGGCAGCAGACATAGAGGCAGAAAATGAGGAGAGAAGAGATTGAAACGCAAGCAGGTCGTCAGGTTATTTATATTTACGCTATTTCCTTTCCGATCCCTCCTCCACCCTTTCATTCCCATAGAAGGGTTTTTCCTTTTTTTGGGGAGTTTTTCCTTTGCCGATGTGAGGGTTTCGGGAGAGAGGATGTCGCATGTGTACAGACTGTAAAGCCCTCTGAGGCAAATTTATAATTTGCGATTTTGGTCTATACAAAATAAAATTAATTGAATTGAAAGTATAAATAATATGCATGCAGCCATCTTTTCTTTCTTGTTTGCCAGCTCAATAGTTGTGTTATGTTTTTACAGGCTATGTATGCCATACATAACAGCAATAGGACAGGATCATTTCAGTGTATAACAAAGCCACCACCACTGGTAAACTAAGCTCGCTGTGTTCACATGTTCTTATTTTTCACTTTTTCAAAACAGATGGCAAACATACATACAAGAAAGAAAAGAAAAAAGAAAATATGAAAATAGTAATACAAAAGGGATCTGGGTTACTGTGTTCACATGCTCTTGTGTATCCCGCAGGGATGCAGCAGTGGGAGAGTGCGTCTTTAACCTTACTCTCATCGATTGCTTACAAGGAATAAGTAAGGTAAACAACAACTAGGGTTGTCACGATACCAAAACGATGACGGTACCCGAAACTTACGATACCACAAATACGAAACTGGAATATTTATCTATGATAGTAATAAATAAAACATCTGTAAGGTTCCATTTTTTTTACCTGGTATCTGTTTGACTGTCTGAGGGATAAACAAACTTCATTTACTTGCATTTAGAGTATGATATTCTCACGTTCATATTTCCTTAATTAAAAATAAAAATAATTGGGTCAAGATCCACCCTCAGGCTCCACCAGCATGTAGCCTATTGCATCAAGTGTGTATTATTTGGTACAATTTTGTGTGCATTCTGACCTCATGATCATATAGGCCCACATGCGTGGAATTGTAGGTTATTTTGCATGTACATATATTTCAGTTACTTATTTGCATTGGACTTTGTCTTGTGTTGCTGATGTTGATGTTTGGCTGGAAAGTAGTTGTCTTGCTAGCGGCAAAACCTGTCCGCTTGCTTTGTTTATGACAAACTAGCAAGTCAACAATTTTCCAGTGCAAAACAAGACAAAGCAGACGTCCTCTTATACCCGGACATTTCCTCTTTTCAAGACCTAAAAAATGCGTCTGGGTAAAAGAGGACGGCTGGTCACCCGAGCTAAGCTAGGCTAAGGCTACTGGTGTTGGTCTGTATGTGGGTGAGCAGTCTGCTACATGAGGACACGTCTCCCCTGATAACTTGCTGTGAGTGACGGCTGCCTGTTGCACGTGTGAGAGCTGGTAATAAAAATGTTCAAAACCGCATTGTTTTCAACGTACGGGTACCGCGGTACCTTTCTAGTACCGGTACACCGTGGAACACTAACAACAACACTAACCACAACAACCACAGTGGTTTAAGTTACTTAATTATTTAGGACCTTACTTTACCCCTCATACACTTAGATGTATTATCACAGATTAGTCAATAGAGTTTCAGCTAAAGTTTTATGGGAAAGAATTAGAATCTCGATCATATTTGTTTAATGTAAGCTACCTTGATATGTAGGCATCCTATATATGCTCTGAACATTAGGGATTTGTGCTTAACAAGTTCCCTCTGTTTCTCCTTCAGGCATTAGAACATGGTTTCATCAACTTTGAACGTTTTGATGTTGAGGAATATGAACATTATGAGGTGAGGGAACATGGACGCAAGTAACTATCATCAACTCACACAGATCCACATGCATAATAACAATCATCCATGCACTTATTCTCCTGACAAAGTGAAACATTTGTTATGTGACACATAGTTGGAGGACCAGTCACACGCTGCATTTCCTTTTTTCTCTGTGTTTTTAGCGAGTAGAAAACGGGGATATGAACTGGATCATTCCAGGAAAACTTCTGGCATTCAGCAGTCCTCACCCTCACAGTAAGATGGAGAAGGGTGAGTGAGACTGAATTTAACCAGAATTTCATAAGATGAGTCTATTCTGACCAGAAGCCCCACATTCCAGTGTTTCCCCAACCATTATGTAAGGTGGGAGCCCCGCCACCCCAAACGGCACCCCTGCACCAACTTGAAAGTCAAGTTAATTTTGTATTTTCTATATAGCAGCAGATCACAACAGAAGTCTTTTGAGTCCCATAGACACTGCAGAAACACTGCAGTCCACATGTTCTATTCAATTATTGGTTATTATATTACTTAATATATTAACATTATTATTTGTAAATGTCTCATGGCACATGCTGTTACTCTGTTCTATGTAAAAGTAATGTTCTCTTTTTCCAGGTTATCCGCTCCACGCACCAGAGGCATATTTTGATTACTTTCGGCAAAATGACATCAAAGCTGTAGTCCGTTTTAATAGGAAGTTGTATGACAGTAGAAAGTTTGAGGATGCTGGATTTGAGCACCATGACCTCTTCTTCCACGATGGGACCACGCCCTCTGACCTCATCATCAGGCGCTTCCTGCACATATGTGAAAGTACTGAAGGAGCTGTGGCTGCACACTGTAAAGGTAGGAATACATGTGTTTGTCTATTTATCTTTTGCACAGTAAAATACATCTAGCAGACATGTAGATAATATATGTTAAGCACTCTTTTACAAGTCGAGGTGTTAAACCTATTCTTTATTTGTTTCAAACACGTATATCCTAACTTTTATATATTTCATCTGATCACAGCTGGCCTTGGCCGTACAGGCACTCTCATTGGCTGCTACCTGATGAAGCACTTCTGGTTCACTGCAGCTGAGGCCATTGCATGGGTCAGACTTTGCCGGCCTGGTTCCATCATTGGCCGCCAGCAAAACTTCTTAGAAGAGTAAGTTTCACTTTCAGTTGTGGTTTATTGGGTCAAAACCTCCAGAACGTTCCGGCCAGCTGGAGCTTTTCATTAGTCCTCCAGCCACCCACTCAAAGAATCTGATGGCTCGAGGTCAAAGATTGAAAAGGATTTAATAACAGAAGCAAATACAATTGTGAAAGTGATGTAAACTATGAATAGTGTTGTATTTCGCGGAATAGAGAATCTTCCTGCCCCTGTTAAATATGACTTAACTCTTCAAACCTCTTCTAACTCCCAGTTCAGTTTTGAAACTCGCTGGGTGTGTCCATTGTGTTGCAGCCGTATGCGATTGCCTGCACAATTAAACATAGCTCCACCCAGGTTGGTAACCGTGACATTCCTCTCCAGGCATTTTAGGACCTTCAGCAGTCCTTTGGGCTAAAGCTTCTTCACAACACCTTAACCATTATGTCTAATTTCCAAGACTCAGAAGACTTGCAGTTTTCTGGAACTTTGTTGATCCAGAAATATGTATTATATGATAATATGATGATATGATAATATGTTGATATGTGGAGCAGAAAAACTGAACGCTGCTTCTCCATGTTTGATTTTAACTCCGGGAACAGAAAGTAGCCCACTTTCCTGGTCCTAGTGAGGACTCAAGCTGCACAGCTGGATCAGTTGTAGCTTTCTGATTTACTTTTTACAGAGACATGTAACACACGGTTACAGTAGTCGAGTCTTGTTAATACATAAGTCCATATTTTTTTTCGGTGATAGGCAGATTTTCCATGATTACACCTAGATCTCTGGCTTGGGCGGTGGTTTTGAACATCAGTAATTGGAGATCAGGGCTGACTTTCAATCGTTGATCTTTGTTTGTTTTATCGTCGATTGAAGAAAGTTTTGGCACTCCCAGTTGAATTCAATGCAATGCATTTTACCCAGCGCTTATATTGGTGGTGACATAGTTATTTAGATTTGTGTTTTTAGGACTTGTGGGAAGACACCCGAGAAGAGGGATTTGTTTACAATTTGTAAGAGATCAGTGGTAATGCAGTTTGAAACATTTTTGCAAAAGTGTGTTGGAAGAATATCTAAGCAGCAGAAGGATGACTCCAGGTGTTGTATAATGTCATCTAGGCCTGTATGGTTGATTGAATTAAATTGTGTCATGGGCATGAAGTAACTTAAGAAGGTCTTACATCTCTAAGTTCCACATTATAATTACAACGTCTGTCTTTGTGTTGCCTTTAAGGAATTCTCCGAGTTTACTTTCAAAGTAAAACTAATTCCATCATTTAGGTCATTTTTTCTGGGCCCAATGCAGCACTGTGTCAGTACAAAACGCCATACGATCACATGTGCTCGAGAGAGATCTGCTTGCATCCACCATGAAGCATCATAGACGCAATGCTGCGAGTATATTGTTAATTATTGTCTTTGCTGTGGATGTTCTGACACGTGTTCTGGCTGCGGTTAGATTTGTGTGTGTGGGCCTATAGCAGCCCCTTCTTTGGACTATGTTTGCTTATGCTGTAAAATGTCTTATTTGGGACTGCACTCTAAATGTTTGTGTTGTCTTTGTTTGCAGTTTTACCAGCTTGGTAATAGAAGAAAAGTCAAAAGTCACGCCTACAACGCCTATTGTATTCTTTGCCCGGGTTTGCAAATCAGTGTTGCAACTCACTGCACGAGAACATTACCGTCGTTAGAGATGTCACAGTTCACCTGAAGATTTGTTTTTCGCCACCTGGTGTCTCAGGCTCTGCTCTCTCCCTTCTCCGTAGGAACCGTAGTTACATACGTAACTTTCGTTCTGTGTTGTCTGTTCATTGTGTGTAGGAAACGGCACAGTTTATGGGTCCAAGGTGACGTCCACCGCTCCAAACAGAAGCTCATTCAGCAAAGACTGAGTCGGCGGCAGCAGCTACAACGACATCGTCAGCAGCAGCAGCTTCACAGCTTGGACTCTGAGGGAGGAAAACAAGAAGCCATGTCCCACCTTCTTTCCAGCATGGATGTCCTATCAGTCAACTCCACCCTTCACAAGTCGTACAGCTTAGATGAGGTGAGTCTAATAATCTGCTGCCTTGAAAATAGGATTGTTTATTAAATTAAAACTATAAACAAATGTGGTTTACTGTGTAATTAATGGGATGACTTCTGATGATTCTTTTTTCATGTTGATACAATGTCTCACTCACTCCGTTCTCACTCTGTTTACTAGAGTAACTTCCAAGAAGGTAGCCTCACTCAGGGAGAAAGACTGACAGAACTGAAGGGAAAACGACCAGCCAGATCAAACTCCTCAAGGTACATCTTTTTTATAAGTTGGCTCCTGGTCATTAGTTACAATTTAGGTAAGTTATGTGAACAAACACGTTCCCTTTCTTTCAGAGTTAGACGAAAAGATCTTCAAATATGAAATGTAAGAAAATTAGCGCTGGGCAACGATTTGCGGTTTATCTAGTCGGTTGTAGATAAACACGTGTCTTTGATTAGGGAGCGGCATAGACAATAATCGGGGTCCGTGTTGGAGTGAGGTGGTCCAGCACTAAGGACATAGCTGGGATTCACTGTGCAGGAACCTTTTACTTTGTGAAGTCCATGTTTGTACTGCAATTCATTTGCAGAATCTAATTTTTAAAAAAGAAAACAAAGAAAAAACTATTTCAGTTTATGTGAGCTTGAAGAGCAGTGTTAGGCCCGTCCCCCAATATCCAGTATCTAGAACCAGAAAGAAAAATACTTTCAAAATCCTAGTAATTAAAAGGAAAACTGCGTTAATGCAAATAATGAAATAATTCTTGCTGATGACCTAACTCTCAGTACCGAAAATGTTTATTAGGACCCATATACTGTACACTTTATTCATGTCTTTTGTTTTCAATTCAAATCAATTGATGTGATTTTTTATATTTGTGTATATATTTTCTAATCTTACATTGTTAGTTATATAATAAGTTGTTTGTCATTTGGGTTTCTTATTCAGGTTAAACCTTTCCAAAGCCTGTCACTGCTCCATTATGCCACCTCCAAACTCTTCTACAGTCCCAATATCCTCTTCCTCTTCATCTTCTAAGAAGCTTGTAGGAAGCTCGTCCTCCCTCACAACGCAGATGTGAGTGTCTGTATTCATGAACAATTTAAATTGCAGCAAACCAAAACTATTACGCCCTTTTTTACTAAGAGCAAAACAAGCATATAGCAACAACTTACTGTGCCGATATTCATATAATGTTCACGTCATCCAGATTAAATATGCAGTGGAGCGATGGAATGAAACGATGAAATGAAAGAATTCTAAAGCCAATTAATCTGTCTCCTACTCTCTCCCCAGCCCCTTCAGACTCGGTCTGCTCAGCACCAGGCCTGCTGCCATGCACTGATGTCAAGCTTTGCACAAGTTAAATAAAATGCTTATGTAATAAACCGGTCGACAAAGTAATTGGAGGGATTCACATAATCAAGAGTCAAAGTAAAGAAACGTGTATACCTCTTACTTACTTGCACCGTGTTGGATGACCACCGCTGCCCGCAGCTATACGATATTTGCACTATGGTGCTGAAAGTATTCAAATGTACAAGCCAATAAAGGTGATCTACGCACACTTACATCTATGAGGTGTAAACTTTGTTTGCGCTCTTGTTATAGAGGACCTTCATCAAAGCCAAAAGACTCATCTGGAACATAATAATAATGATTTTATTTAGTAAAGTACTCAGAGACCCTTTACAAATGATCAAATAAAATAAATCTGTACACTAAAAACAATTTCACTCACATATTAAAAGCAGCAATGACTTTGTATTGTATCAGTTGTATCCAACTGTTGCAGTAGTCGATTCTGGAAGTGATGAAGGCATGGATCAGGAGTTTCGGCAACAGATAATGAAAGTGATAAGTGGAGATGGGCTATATTTTTTAAGTGGAAAGGCAATTCTGGTGATATGTTTGACGTGGTGTCCGAAGGAGAGGTTGCTCTCAAACATAACTCAGACATTGCATATATGACCATGTTCAGCTGACATCTGGGCTCCCCACCTGTCCATCATTAGACCCTCGTCACCGCCAGTTGAAATACCCAAGCTTCCTGCTCTCTCATCGGCAGATTGTTTCTTCAGCTCAGTGGTAGCTATACTCTCGGCCCCTTTTGAGTGTTGAACTCCTTTAACAAGTAACTTTAGTACGCTAATTCTATTGTGTGTTTTTCCCCAGCTCAGTGTTATGTCCGAACCACATCTCCGCCCAGCCAGCGCTACTTCCACCGCCTCGCCACTCCACCTGCATTCTCCACTGGATCTACAGACTAACCAGATGAATAACTTTTTTCCACCTACTCTGCCGTCTCGCTGTATGAGTTTGGGTCCAGAACAGACAGACGATAACACGGAGAAGCCAGGACAGACACGGAGTCTAGAATCTAAAATGCCAACTTAGCAACTTTGTTGCTAGATTCAGCAATTTTCCAGACTCTTTCAGACAGATTAAAAAATGTATATTTGGCACTTTTAGCAACTTTTGCTGTGACTAAAATGATAAAATGCATGCATATTCCCTCTAAATGTAAAGAGGTGTCAATTTTAACATTTAAAAAACAAAAGATGCGCTGCATGAATATTTTTGCGGTGTTGGTACTATTATTTTCAGATTTTCTTTTTTTATATTAAAAAAATTAAATGCATTCCCAAAAGTATTACGGATGGTCAAATGTCAACCATATCTAACATATTCAAACATTTTCAATAAATTCACCTGAATTATTTTTGTCTCATGAGTCTTAATTGGGGATCAATACAAAACCTTTTTTAAATAAGTTAATTATAAAAAACATAATTGTTGTCGCTTGTGCTGAAGTTGTATGTGATTGAATATCCTCCCTAGTGAATTCCTTTCTGCTCCAAGGCATCAAATGACTCCCTCCTGGCTCCATTTTATGGCCAAATCTGAAATCCCTCACTGACCTGACCAATCAACATTCAATGATCACACCTTTGGCTTAAAGCTTCACCATGTAAACATAACATTGCATGCATAATATCATCATCTAATAGCTAGTAAACACAACTTAAATCATCACAGTTCATCACATCTTAACCATTATGTTTACCCCGATTCTATATGGTCCAAAATCCGAATATTTGCCTCGCAGGGCTGCTCATTTACTACCTGACAGAAGAAAAAATCCATCTTAAGGGAGTAAATCCATAAAAGACGGCAATTAGCATCTGTCGTCAGGAAGAATAGTCTCCACTACAGTGTAGACTAATGGGGATCCTTAATAAACATAAACATTGTGGCAGGATGTTACAGTATACAGTAATTATAGGACTTAGATGATTATTAATTGTGCTTGATTCATATTGAAATTATTTCATCTAACATGCTAATATAATAACTATTATTCTATAGTTCTATTCCATTCTATTATAGACTAAACATTATCACATGTATTATAATTTCTACCACTAGGTGCGCTCCACTGCTTAAATCCCTAACAGTTTACACATGTGCATTTGATGGAAATCCTGCTCTCAATGTAATTGAGTTCATCCAATGACTGTTTGAGTCACACAGTGGGTGGAGCTTAGTACGGTGGCCCTGAAGTGCAAAACACAACGCAGATAGAAAAACACAACGCTTTACCCTTTCCGTAAGAAGTTCATTTTGTTGTGTTTTCCTATTTGCCGTTGTGTTTAGCACTTCAGGGCCACCGTAGCTTCCCTCTGCAGAGACAAGAGATTGCTTCAGATGCAAGTACCTCAACCAAAGATGAACCCAGGGCAGAATACAACTGCATTCATTGACCGCATGTGTCCGTTTGGCTGTGACTCAACTGTCCCATCTTTGGCTCCTCTGAACGCGGTTGGGAAATGGAGCCCTCGGGGCGGCAATTTGGAAGACACATCTTATCTATCCTTTATCTATCTATTCCATCATGCATTGCATGCCAATGAAGATTTGAATGTATTCACGATGGAGACAGGTGAGCCACGTTGATCCTGTTCATTGTGAAAGCTAATCATACCCTCTAGGGCCCACTAAACTATGCTCTCTAATCCTTTGAAACTGCAGTCCTGCCCACATATTTCCCTCAGATTATTCTTCATTATCTATCTTTCCATTCTTACTCCCTACAACTCAAATCGACATGCTGAACCTTTTCCAGACATCCTCCACAGAAGCCTGTCTGCTGTTTCCATATCATTTTCACTGTTTTTATTAGTGCACAAGTCCTGAACCGTAACCTCTGTCCCCCCCAGTAACTTTGACACTGTTATGGATATGATGTAGATGAATATAGGTCATAGCTACAACAGTGCGTTGAGTAAATTAGTAACTAGTATTTTTTACAAATTTTTTAATTTACATCACAAAAGTGAATAAATCAAAACTTAAATTGTTAAATCCCCGGCAGTCTGTCTTTGAATCAATTTGAACCTAAAGTTCAGCAGTTAAATGAAATCACTAAAGCCTAGTTTATGCTTCTGCGTTTTCAGAGACGCAAGGACACGCAGACGCACAAGGCTGCGATGGTCTGCTAACTACATCCTTTACGGAGTCTCACATTTCCGTTTTCATAGCACAATACCGCCAATATTAAAACGAAGAATGTTTACGAGAGAACGGATCAGATTGAAGAGCTTTTGTCGGAAGAAATGCGTATATGTGACCACTTCTACGAGCCGTCATTGGCGGCCCATAAGGATGCGCGGATGGCCTCCGATTCACGGAGGGAGATCTCTGCAAACGTCGGTTTGCCGGTCGAGGAGAACAAAGTTGTGGAGGAAAATACGGGACAGATGTGTCCGCGATGAAAAGCAGCAGTGGCGATGCACGGGGCAATAAAGTCTATGATATATAAATAAACAAACCAACGACTTCCACACACAAAGACGTGACTCACACGCTACTCCACCTGTTGTTCTGGCGGTGAATTGCTCTGCAACACACGCAAGCCTTTTAGAACCATAAATTGAAACGAATGCGTCGACGCAAGAAGAGTAAAAATACTCTCCTTATAACTTTTAGTAACTCTGACGCCACATCGGCTACTAGTTTTCTTACAGAATCAATTTCAAAATTCTATTGATTGTTCTCAAATCACTAGACATTTTTGGGCCAAAATATGTATCAGACCTTTTAATCCTGCACAATCTTCCCCTGTTCCCTCAATTACTGGCTGTTACCACAGATTATAATTAACTTGGTGAAACTGGCTTTAGCATCTCTGCTGCTCAAATGTAGAACGCATTAGCAGAAGAGCTTAAGACAATGCTGGCTAGTAAATCCAAACTAATTACTTTAATTGTTTATAATTGCTTGTAATTATTTTTCATGTAAATAAAATGAATTTGTTGGAAAACTGTTTTACTTAGTATGCTTTTGACAGTTTTTTTCTTCCAAAGAAGAAAGAAAAATCTCTTCCTCGCCCTCAAAAAATAAAGAGAACATCTTCGCCTCGACCTGCTTCCTCTGGTGGGAAGAGCTAATGGGTGGATTTCAGAGCAGACACAACAGCCAGTAAGCGTAAATACTCAGTATGTGATCTAAAATTCACACTAAGCAAGAGATGAACCAGTAACTTAACGAAACACGGGGCGACAGTGGACATAGAAGAGAAAGGAGGGCAGGCATTGCCGTGTGCGCCCGCTAGAGAGCAGCATGATGCCATGGTGAGAACATGATGAATGTCTTGATCATCTTGGTCATGTCTCCTTTGAGACAAATATTAGTCAAGCTGTAACTAACTATTCTGAACGACATCATAAACGGTTGTCTTGGTTTTCCTGACTATGCTGATGTGCATTTATACTTTTTTTCAAGACACTCTCTCTTATTCTTTTTATGAAGTGATGTCTTTATTTTCATTGTGATGTTGTAGGCCTTTTGGTGATTTGTGATTGGCCGAGTGTGTTTGTTTACTACACATGTCTACAAACCTTGTTTTGGAAAGTATATGTATGTAATGATACATTGTCACAAGATATCTCTTAATGGAGGGGAAGAAGACTTTTTAGTTTTGTATCCTAGACAGTGTCCTTGACAGTGTCAAACCAATTGTGTTTTCAGAGCGGGACGACAACATTTTACGTCATGTTTTGAATTTATTTTTTTAATCATAAATGACATGTTGCAGTGCCCTGCAGTCCGTATCCAACCCAGCCCAATCCTGCACTTTATTTTCTTTACAAGCACATCAAATGAGGACTCTCATAGGAAATGGTTAAAGGGAGTAGAGGTTACTTTGGGTTCCGAATACTCATTCGTCCTTTAACCCTAACCCTTAGCTCTCCTGGGTATATTATTCTTTATATTTTTTATATTATATTATATTTTATATTAATAATCCATTGGGTTGAATGTGGCACATGGAGTAGAGAGGGTGTGCTGGGAAACACAAGGTTGGTGGTTCAAGCCCTGGCTGCTCCATGTCCCATGTCAAAGTGTCCCTGAGCAAGACACCTAACCCCTAATTTTCTGAAAGAAAGCTACTCTCTCATCCCGACCCAGCAAGTTTAACTATACTTTCTCTTCTGTTCCTCGCCCTCTGTCTATTGTTTAGTCATATAACCACACTGAAAGAGTTTGCTGACTGAGGATCCCTTCCCTTTTACTTACTAACTCACATACACACACACGCACACAGACACATGCACACTGTTTCTTATATCCTTGTAGACATCAGTAGATAAGGATTCATTTAGTGTTTAACACCTACAAAGTATTCAAGGTCAAAAGAGCCGTGACACCACATGCGAAGGCCATTAATAAACTCACTGAAGTAGTCATCTGTACATGTAACTAGACTAGACTAAACTAAACAACCCCCTTGATAATACAAACAATTGAATTTACAAGCTTAACCTTTTTACAAACTTAAAATAAGAAATACTTTAGCAACGTTTTTACATTTACCTGCATGTCGATTCTCTATTACAGAGTGTTATCTCTCAGGAGAGACTTATCAGGAGTCTCAAGGCTGTGCAGACTGAATAGTTGATCATAGGTGAGTGTTTGTTTGTTATGGCTTGGTGATTATCATACAGTTTGCTCTTGACCTTTTTATCTCTCTTTCTCTGTTGCGGTCCCTGTGCTGAACTTCATCTACACCTCTAAACCTTCAATTTTAAGGCCATAGCAGTCCACTGATACCTGCCAACACACAGGTAGTTTAAAACTCAATGAACCACATTTAATGTCAGTATCTGATTTTGTAAACATACATGTGGGCGAAAATTTGCAATGCGATTTATTGCAGGAATCTTTGATTAATCACATTCTTATTTTCTCATGTATAATTTAGCTGACGCTTTCATCCAAAGAGATTTACAATAAATGCATTCATTCAAGAGGGAACAGAACCGGAACAAGACAAATCAAGAAAGTACAAATTCTTCAAACCAGCCACTGACAACAGCCAACTACAAAGGTGCTTTCAGTAAGTGCCATTGTAAGGGCTATTAAAGTGCTAACTAGTCTGTAGAGGTGCATTTTCAGTTTGCGTCGGAAGCTGTCTAAGCTTTCTGCTGTCCTTTCTGGTTAAACATTCAAATGCGCAAAATGAAATTAGGTAAATTTGTGTGCAAAACGGGAAAAACCTTTTAGATTGTAAAGACCCTTATGTGCCATGACAATACATTTTTTTAATTTCTCGACTTACTACTACTATTAGAATATTCTATTCAAAAGATGTATTATTTTGGGATGTGCAATACTAGGAGCTTGTCTTTGGTCTTTGTTATTTTAGTAGTGTAATAATC